GGTTTTAAATTCCAGTGGGCCTCATTTACAGTAATAAGCTGAAGAGAGAGAAGGAAATACTTTATATAGATAGATATAACACAAAAAGACACTCTGTGCTATCTGTCTTTCACAGCAGGCAGTATATGGCCAAACGTTCATTAAACCATATGAACTTCAATATTGCAAACGTTGCTTTAAATGTAGGTATGCCAGTCAGCATATGGCCACTTCCTTTTTGTCAGTGTACTTTCGCAATTTTTGTCATAGTGTTTGAAACATTTCCTCACTGCATCTTTTACCAGCTCTGTACATCTTTATAATGGGGTAATACTGTATTATAGTGGTTATATCTGAAAAGGCTGACTTTAAATAGGGACAATTATATAAATCAAGTTGGTTTTATATTTGCTAATGTAAGGGTTTCATTTTTTGGGTAATAATTTAGCAAAAGCAGGGTATTATTTTTGGCTTATCCTATTGCACAGTAATGTGGTACTAAAGAGCGGAAAAAAGGCTAAATTAAGCAAGAACATAAACAAGAAACAATTTATCTTTGTTATCTTACAAACGCCCTTTTAAAAAAACCTTTAAAACCAATAGACCATCTTCTATTTTAGTAAATCTGTTGCTTGGAACAGAGTCAACATTAATCCAGTCATGAGAGTAAAGCAGAACAGAGCCATGTGATATACATCAGGAGACCTTCATAAAGGGAAATCCTATGAGCTCATGGCTAAAATATATATTGGCACATGCTTTTAAACTTATAGACCCCATGACACACACTAACTTTGGATGGTACTACAGGTTTTTCAGTAAAGATGGGTTTTATTGATTTTTATCAATACCGATGCTTCATATCTATCCCCAGGGGTTCAGTTGGGATTTGTTGTGTGGGGGGGGCTCTGTCTTGAAGGTGGTGTGTGTGACCGTGACATGACATGTTACTTGTTAGACGCTTTTATCCAAAGCGACTTACTTACATACTCAATACTGTGGGCAATCCCAGGGACACAACGACATGCTGACTGCAGTGGGGTTTGAACCTGTGCCCCCCTGATCCGAACACCAACGCACTAATCCACTGCACCACACGCCTCCATGACCATATGTATGGCCAAAATGATAACGTTTTTTTTTATCAATGTTGAGGATCTTTTTCAATATTATTAATTGGGAAATAAAATAAGTGAAACAAATGTTTGTATTGTACTTTGACAGAGCACTGCTTTCATTTCCATCCAGTCCGATTCAACCACTGTCAATATACCGGTTTGTAAATATACTCTGAACAATCAGGTACTTGCACCAATTTAGTACTGGTTTTTGATACCCATCCCTATTATTCTGTGACAAAAAGTGTAAATGGCAGGTTAAAATAATAACAATTTGTTTACATCATGCATGATCATTTTCTTCTAGATAAGTGTATGACTGCACTGCATCACAGCAGGGAAGCTGTAGCAGTGAACAAAATGTAAGGCTTCAATAATGTTGTGTTTTATCATTGGAATGTGAACACAATGGAGGTGAAAGATGTAAAGGTTTTTAAAGTGGCGAAGTTACAAAGCTGTAGTGGTGGAGTGGAGCGTTCCATATTGTGTTGGGCAGTAAAAAAAAAACATTGAAGATGGGTGTTGGGAATAACTTAAAAAAAATGTGAGACATAAACCATACGAGTCATTTTGAGGAACATGTTATACTTTTATTTGCAATAAAAATAAAATGGTATTGTATGATTTCCTTGTCCGAGATTAGGAAATCTAGTCCTCTGAGGGTAAATATAGATTGTGCATGACAGGCTCAATATTTCAGAGTCATTTCATGCAAAGCCTTAACTTCTGCTTTCAGTGAAACTTCAAGTCTCTATTAATTCAGTGATGTGAGAAGTTCGGTAGTTTGGAAACATAAAATTCAAATGAATGTCATTAAAGGTAGGGTAGGTAAGTTTGAGAAACTGTCTCGAGATCGCTAGAATTTGAAAATACACAACCGGAGAAAATCTGCCACTTCCTTATAGAGCCCCTCCTCCAACACACACGAACGCGCACATGACCAATGAGGGCACGAGATAAGTTTGTGCACAGATGGAAGGCTGACAGGCAGGTAGGCCATCCAGTTATTTTAGCCGGGCCGGCTAAAATGATTGGTCGTACTTTTTACAGTACTACAGCTTCCACAGATGACATTTTTTAATGGATTTTTTGTCAAAGCACTTAAGATATTCATTGCTATCGGGATGTTAAGAGCATTCCATGGAATATAACAAAAAGTGTATCTCGAGCCGGTTTCTCAAACTTACCTACCCCACCTTTAACAGGTTACTGTTTTTTCCTGTTCTTGTTACTCATCATCCTTATTCGTCTTGCAGATGACTTTGGGCAGCGTGCCTTGGTTGGGAAAGTGTGTATGGACAGGAACAATTCTGTGAAACATTACAAAGAGACCAATCAGGAGTCCCAGGACGATTAGCTTTTACTAAAATAGTGATACAATTGGTGTTAAGGAATAATTCTTCTAGATATCTAACCTTTTGCTCTGTGACGTTTTATGATCTACTCTGACGTCTGTTATCTCCTTTAAGGAAAGGCCTTGGTGCCATATGTGTTGTTGTCACCAGTTTGTGACCGGTCAACCAGTTAAAAGGTCTAGCATAGAGAGAGGCTCTTCAGAATTGACGTGGCAACTTTACCGTGTAGTCAGAACCTCTGACTCTTTGATATGTGATGTGAATCCTCCGGCCGAATACTCTGAATAAACCCATCAGTGTTTAACATCAAAGCTCCAACTCTCACCGTGTCTCCTTCCTGAGTCGGTGACTCCATGCATTACTACACAGAAGTTTCCTCCACAATTGGTACAGGACATGCGGCTTAATACAGAGTGACCCTTTTGAAACATTGCGTAACATTGATAATAGATTTCTCAAACTACCTTTAATGTACATGTTTTAATGACAGTACACTTATCCAGCTGGCAGGCAATCTTTGGAAATAATCTGGCGAATATGTTCTCATTTTTTTGTTTGTTTCTTTATATCAGAAAAGTCAGAAGATAGTGAAACATTTTGGTCCGTGTTCACCAAAGATACACAGTGAATTAGTTGGAAGCTTTTGTTAACTCAACTCAAACTAGGAACCTTTTTGTATTAGATTTGGTTAGCTGGGGGTATGGTCACCTCTCAAATCTCATACTTCACTTTAAACTCGTCCTTAGTCATTAAATCTGACTCGGAGTCGGGACACATCTGGGAGATCATCAGACGTGTTCTGCGTCTTCTTTGAGCCACTATGCAAGTCCTCTCTCTCTTCATCATCATCACTGTCTGAGACATCCAAGTCCTTCTTCGCTCGTACTCGCACTTTCTTTTTCTGTTCAACAACTTTTTCATCTTTCTTTTCTCCTTTTACTTCTCCTTCTCCTTCTTCTTCTTCTTCTTCTTCTTCTTCTTCTTCTTCTTCTTCTTCTTGTCCTCCTTCTTCATCATTATTGTCCCCTTCTGAGTTAATTCTGCACAGTGAGAGAAAAAAAAAAGTTAGATTTAGTGGCATCTGCGACTTTAAGTCTTACATGAGCAATGGCAAAATGATTGAGTGTTAAGGGCATTAAATGGAGAAGTAAAGACTGGAGCTAAAATGTTGTCATTAGTTGTTAAGACTAGGTTGCAATACATCCTTTTGTCCACAAGATGGCATACTTGCAGTAGAATTCACTGAATGTGCTTGACGGATATACTATGGCTACATATTAACAATAGGTGCGTTGTCCCAGGTAAGACAACAAGAGAGCTCGCCATAGCAAGGAGTAACCGGGCCTGATTTCTCAGTCCATCTTTTCACTACTCTCCATGGCGGGCACCAGAAATGTGTCACTCACGGTGCATGACCAATCATTGGCACCTATATGTTCTGTTCAAGTATGTTCCTGAAGAAGGATTATTAAGAGCTTCATTGCTTAATATACATAAAGTGAATCTATACTGCAAAGGCAGGATGAAAAAGATCAAGACATTACTTGAAAGCACTCCTTTGTGCATCAGTCAATCCTCACAGTAAATACAGAGCTAAATCCCAGACCAAATGCACGCTGAAGGCTCTTTGAGCATGTTTTCTCTCACTGATTGTGCGGTTATGTTAAATGTTTGTTGTTTGTGTTTCATGTATTTGTGTCTGGATATTTGTCTATGTTGGTGTTGGACATGGAGCTGCTGTGACGCAAGTCAAATTTCAGACTTGATCTGACTAATAAAGTAATATGGTATCGTATTGAATATCAGGTGAGGACAGGTGTGTCCACAAACCTAAACTTCAGGGATCGGAGGTAAATTACATTGTTTAGCAGACTATTTATGTTTCATGCTCTAAATTTGGATTCTGTGTTTTGCGACAACAATAGTGCTACAACTATTAGTAATTGTTGTCTTCCATTGACAGGAATTAATTCACAACACTTTTGATAATAAAATAAGATAAAATGGAACTTTATTAATCCCTGTTGGGAAATCCTGGCGTTTACAGCAGCAACCGGGTCAGAGTGAAAATCAGGATTCACACAAGGTAAAGAATAAAGATCAAATAGAATACAAATAATTATACAAAAGTAAAGTGATAAAGTGATAAAATAACTGTTGAACCAAGATATCATGGTCAAACGTTGATCAATAGAGACATGGCTTAAGTCATTGGACAAGAACAAAAGCCATATTCTGATGGTTTTTCAGATAACTGATTAAAAAAAGAAATGTTACTGATATTATTTGATGATGTGTTTTAGTTCATCACTGTCATCACTGAGGGGTAGTGATTCATCACAATCATGTACTGTACAGGCTGCAACAATATAATTCATCATTGTTGGTTAAGATAGTTTGAAATAGAAATCAAAAAACATTATGTGTCTAATATCCTGTCTTTAACTTGTGTAACTAACATTTCATGGTACAGAGGCTCATAATGATTACTACTAGTAAATCTAGAATACAGAAACTTTTAATACCTACAATCATGAAAGACAAAGTGTACGATACATTTCCAAGATTTTATTTAAGAAAGAGTTTTTTTTTAAATCACAAAATTAATTCTACAGTGTTTTGCATTAAACAGTCTTATATACAAAAAAGTAAATGTTTATGTATTGAAAGGATACCAGGGCATGTTTTAATGTGCTTTCAAGCTATACAAGATTTATCACTACATATGCATTAATATCAGTTAAACACAACCTACAACGAGACCATTGGATGGAATGATCAACTACAAAACTTATATTTTATTGTTCAGCTAGGATACAAGATTATTATTTGCTTGATTTTTTTAAATGCAATGCAATGCAATCCCCTCACACAATTATTACAAAATGTCTTGAGTAGAACGCAGTTTTATATGTGACATTAAGTGCCATTGCCATTCACTTTAAAATATCAACCAGAGCTGTTTGAACCCAGGGCCTTCTTGAATACCCTCTCAGCATCCTCAGCGAGCATGTTGAGGCAATCCTCGAGAGCTTTGTAGGTGCAGGTAAAAGATAAGGCCGCTGCTACTGGTATTCCTAATAATGGAATAAATCTGGACACTTCCTCTGCTGCCAGTGAAGCAACTTGAAACCCAGACACTACCAGCAGTTTCATAATGACCTTTTTGTTTATTACACCTGCAGACAGGTTTGAGGTCGTCACTGCTCTGAGATCAGTCAAAGGCACGCCTGATTTAAGAGCAAGATTTTCCATTGACTTGCTGTCAAGACCAAAAGTATGTTTGTACTTATTGGTGGCTTTAACCAGAATGGCTATATCAACAGCAACAGAGAGCCCAGGAGCTGGTACAGCTGCTGTGAGTGCAGATAAAGAAGCAAGGTACTTTATTTTTGCCTTGAGAGCTTCTTTCTTCTTGCAGATGATCTCACAATGAACATTGGGCATGGCTAACAGCAGAGTGTCTCTCTTGTGTTCAGGAAGCTCTTTCTCCAGGGTATTTGTTAACAGGTGGAAGTCATACAGGTGGAGATGAAAGCTGGACACCAGGAAGACTTGTGGAGACTCAATCTTGTGTTTTAGAAGACCTGTGTCACACACACAGAACAGCAAAGTTAATTCAAGATGATGAAATTGAAACCAAGTTAGAAAAATTCCCAGCAACCATCAGCAGGACAGACAAAACAATGGGTTATTTGTTTAAAATCTGAGAGGATGATCTGTCACATGAACAAACCATTAATGCAGTATTCAAACAACTCATTTTATAAACTTTTATAAACCTTGTAAGCTCCTGTAAAGTAACATTTTGGTTGTTTTAAAATTAAACAGTGTCTACCTGTGACCCTTGTTGCCAAAGATTTTAGGTTTTAGGCATGTGTCATTTCTCCAAACTTACCATCAACGCAGTTTTCTCTTATGATTGAAAGAGTCTTTTCTGCGTTGAACTCGCTCTGAGTTTCTTCTTCATCCCGCATGTTATGGTCAATCTTTGAGCGAACAAAGTAGAACTTCTTCTTCATCTTCTGGATCTCCAGAGCAAGTTTCCCATCATTTTCTCTGAAGCGATCAGCTGAGATGATGATGAAGAAGTCAAATCTTTCAAAGCCAACATGCTCCAGGTACTCGGCAGCTGGAACATTGGTGGTGCCAATACCAGGAAGATCCCACAGTGTAACATTGGGAAAGTTTGGATGGGGGTATGGGTTGACCTCCATGGTGGTTTCTACAACACCAGTAGGGGCTGCTGCATCACTCTTATCCTTCTTGTCTAAGCCTCTAAAGGCATTAACAAAGGTGGATTTACCAGAGCCACACTCTCCTGTGATGGCGATGTTTAGTGGAATGTTATCCTGCTCTTCCAAATAAGCCTTGATCTTTGCAGTTGCTGCGGGGACATTGGTTTGCAGCAATTCTTTAAATGTATCTATGTATTCTTTACCTAATGGATCCTCCATAGCTCTCCTTGAAAAATAAAAATAAACAGAATGTCATCTCACTATTTTCATTTGGTGACCTGAGCATTTAAAAAGACATCCTGTTTAATCAAACTTACAGAAACAATGAGTTTGATAATAACACAATTACAATATCCAAACTTTACATAAACATTTGTGTTTTCTAAAAAACTGTGAAGTCTACAATGAAAGCTTAAGAACTGTCCTAAAACCCTAGAATAGCCATTGTGAACTCAAGATTCTTAATAGGTTACATAAAAAAACAAAAGTCAAAGCATAAAAGATAAACATGCAATCAGTGAGCAAAAGTCACACAGTCAGAAACAATTCATTTGATTAAACACTCATTTGAAATATATGCCTTACCGTATGATGCACCTGCAACTTTGAAACTCAGCAAGAAAGTTGAACTTCTTTGCTGCGCTGTTGTATGGGTTCACATTTTAAAGAGTTCCGCTCCTTAGACACTGAATGAAGTGGCCAATTAAACCTTCTCCTGCAGTGAGTGACAGAATCTAAACCAATCAGTGTTCATCATGTTTCCTTTCTTTTTCCTTGTTCAGTTAAAGCAGCTGATTTACAAGAAATAAAATAATAAGAATTTGTTTACATCATGCATGATCATTTTCTTCTAGATAAGTGTATGACTGCACTGCATCACAGCACTCTGCAGGGAAGCTGTAGCAGTGAATAGAAATGTAAGGCTTCAATAATGTTGTGTTTTATCATTGGAATGTGAACACAATGGAGGTGAAAGATGTAAAGGTTTTTAAAGTGGTGAAGTTACAAAGCTGTAGTGGTGGAGTGGAGCGTTCCATATTGTGTTGGGCAGTAAAAAAAAACCATTGAAGATGGGTGTTTGGAATAACTTTTTAAAAATGTGAGACATTCATAAACCATACGAGTCATTTTGAGGAACATGTTATACTTTTATTTGCAATCAAAATAAAATGGTATTGTATGATTTGATTTCCTTGTCCGAGATGTGTTTCTAATATTTAGCTGATGCTCAGTCATATACGTGCATAAAACACTCAGGCTCTAAAGTTGAATCAACAGCTATTTGATGCAGGATGCTTGTATTAGATTAAGAGGAACTGATAAGTAGTCCTCTGAGGGTAAATATAGATCGTGCATGACAGGCTCAATATTTCAGAGTCAGTTCATGCAAAGCCTCAACTTCTGCTTTCAGTGAAACTTCAAGTCTCTATTAATTCAGTGATGTGAGAAGTTCGGTAGTTTGGAAACATAAAATTCAAATGAATGTCATTAATGTACATATTTTAATTACAGTACACTTATCCAGCTGGCAGGCAATCTTTGAAAATAATCTGGCGAATATGTTCTCGTCTTTTTGTTTGTTTTGGTTATCTTTAAATCAGAAAAGTCAGAAGATAGTGAAACATTTCGTGGTGTTGTTGCAGGAAGTCCCGGCGGAGAATACTTTTGCGCCGGGACTTCCTGCAACAACACCACGCCGTTATCGTGATTCTGATTGGCCAGAAGACATTATCAAAGATGTTCTATTGAGAAGACGATCACTACGTGACAAAAGTTTTGAAAACCGTTTCTAGTCTTTGGTATTCTTGTTTTTGGCGTGAGAATAGTTTGGGCAGTGTGAGAGCGTGAGATTGAGAGTGAAAGCGTGTGTCACACGCCAGATGCGTGAGAGTTGGCAACCCTGCCATCGATACAACATTACGTGTTTATAGAAATCAACACGTAATGAAATAAGACCCCACGGTTTGATGATTGGTAGGTGTGTGGGCTGTCTTTCATTTTGACACACAGAACAATGGGGGCTATCCACCCTTATCCACAATGTAAAGTAATTCACACAGCCTCTTCCCTCTTCTCTCTGTGAGGAGCAGCAGGTTCAGCTTTCAGAACAAAGTAACACAAAACTAAAATGGCATTCATTTTTTTAAATATGTCGTGTAGTAATAGATTTGTTTATTTTTCTTCTCAAGAGAGTACCAGAATGTGTATTTTATGTTAGTATTTTTAAAAATCTCCTGGGGGAGAATCCCCCGAAACCCCCCTGCAGGGGTTGGGTTTTCAGCATGTCAACTCTTTCACTTGTGGGGAAATTGCAGGATTGGCTCCAGGTCGCCCTTTTTATTTACTACAAGACAAATGTGCCTTTTTATTTCATACAGTTCAATTTGGATTGAGAGAGACAGGGAAATAATCTAAACCTCACGCGTGGCGTTTCACTGTCGGGGGGAGCGTGTATGTAATTACATTGCAAATACTAACTTGAGCCCCACCACGGTATGGGTTAGCCCTACCATAGATTACCCAACAAAAATACTTTGGAGCCGCAACTGCCGACCCGTATTGCGCATGCGCAGATCTAAGGTCCAGTAGAAATGATAAAAAAGTAAAAGTCTGCTGCTTATTGTTCTACTAGGCCAAAATAGAGTCAAAGAGTATATGAGAGTGAGCAGTGGCGAGCCGTGAGCTTTATACCTAGGCCCTCTGACCCCCACCCCTTCCCTCGAAAAAAAGAAGAAAAAAAGAGTTATTACGTCACAGCGTATACTTCAGCGGAATATCAAAACAACGGCCCAGGGTGCAAAACGCATCAATGACAGCGACCCTCTACCACACAAAACAACACCTGGGAACCCAATTTGTGTTCTTTGACATTGAAAAGGATATTGCATTGTGTTTGTTACTTTCGTTGCAGTTGTATGTCTTAAAGGGCCCATGTCATGGCCATTTCCACTGATCATAATTACATTGTTGAGGTATACTAAAATAGATTTATACTGTGCAATTTTCCAAACTCACATTGGTTTCGCATACAGCATCTCTGTCAAGCATGTGTATTCAGCAGTATTCACTTTCTCCACTAAACGACTCGTTGGAGCTCTTGCCCCCCCCCCCCTCCCTGTGAGCCTAGTGTGCTCCGATTGGTCAGCTCGGCCACTCGTTCTGATTAGTCAACCACCAGAGAGGCTGCGCCCATGTCAGTGCTTTTCCCGGCTGCTCTCAGCGTAACATCAGTCTTATCATGGCGTCGGTACAGCGGTATATTTTATATACATATATATTTTTAACTGTTGTTATAGAAGAGTGTGACGGCCTCAGGGCCTTTGTCTTACGGTGGGGTGGAGCTGAAGAGGGTAATCAGCGCGATCACGGACACCTCCGTAGCCGGTGCTATTAATCCCAGCGGCCCGGAGTCTCTCTCCAAAGCGGCTGCAGAAGGACGAACTGAGCGACCCTCTCCCCTCGACCACCTGTCTCTGCATTTACTACAATAAATGTGCCGTGGTTTTGTAAACTCGTGTATGTCTCCTTGTCTTTCCGTTGTGGCCTACGAGCTACTCTCATAACAAAGAGTAAGTTATTTTTACCCGTTATAAACTACTACTGTTTGATGAGAAATCAAATCATGGTTTGCTATATATGAATTCAGGGAAGAAAGGATAGGCCTACTAAGTATTTCCATTAAACTTTATTTTTAGAAATGTACAAAATGAACATAAATATACATATATACACGGTATATCATCCATTCCTCCTCCTCGCATCTTGCCTGCGCACAGTCGGTGCGGTGCCTTTTAGCACCCTCAGTAGTAGTAGAATCCCTTCCCCGTCATGGATTGTCCGCCAGGATCTGGCTGGACGAAATCAAATGCAAATCACAAAATATTAGAGAAACTTAGTTGTTTTAGATTCGTTAGTAGTAGTTGTGTAATGAACAGCTTGCCTGCTAATATGCTAACCTAGCTTTGTTTACCTTGGTAGCTAACACGATATGAACGTTAGCTTGGAGGAAAGGCAACTATAATGCAGTGTAATAAAACTACTATGAACAAAAGCTAGTGGTTCATATTAGGCTAGCAATAACGTGTTTATAATTGCAATCGTATACGGGTATTCTGCTACGTTCGGTCATACAATGTAACTTGCATGAATACATTGTTTTGCGCTAGCATACAGCTAGCCTCGTTAGCTACATGCAGTATATGTACTGTCACAATGTACGGTAAATCACAGTACAGTATACTGTATGAGTATTCCGTGTGTGTGACTGCAGACATTCTCCTGCCATGACAAACATGTAAGGCCATCTGCTGACATTGTAGTTGATATATTTAAACGCTAGCAACGTAGCATCACAAAAATGTTTTTCTGACCGAAACTAGCTCTAGCTCCGTGTGTTAGATCGCTACGCCAGCTATAATGTAATTACGTTTCGCGACTGACCGGCAAATCACCCGGAGTATACTGTCAATAGGTATTTTGTGTGTGAATGCAGACATTCTCCTGCTATGAGATACATGTATGCAAGGCCATCTGCTGATATTAGAGTTGATATATGGAAACTCTAGCAACTTAGTTAGCACTGTGTCAATGGCTTAGCAGTCCAACACAGTTTACACATTTAAACAGTCTTGTTTGATAAATACACAAATAACAATGCAAACTTACAGGTTGTATACCCAGATCTTCCCCTGCTCCAAACGGTCCAAACAAGCTGTGCATATCCGGCCTCAAACTGGGCAATGTTTTGGAAGCTTTCGTCTGTGAAATGCCGGTTCTTCGAACCTCTGGAGGAGGAACACGACGCTGCTGGTGTGGCCATAGCTCTTCGGGATTGGTCCATTTCGTTCCGGGTACCGCATGACATCAGGCGGTACCCGGAACTAAATGGAAGACTCAAATGGGCAGTGACGTATCTCCAACGAGGCGTTTTGGGGAGGTATTTTCTGTGTTAGAGTTTTACTCGCTACAGGGTGTACTTTGAGGGTTTTGACTCTGCACACCGTTTACATGCATAAAAACCTTCATAACACACAAGGGGACGGGTAATAACCGGAAAAGCATGACATGGGAGCTTTAAGTGTAATTTGGCATGCTTTTATTTTGAAGGCGAGTTCACGCTGTTGACAGGAAGTTGTTGTTGCTATGGAAACAAGAAAAGTTTCACAGCGGGCGGAACTTGTCATAAAGTCCGCGATAATAAAACCCACCCATTTAGAGGGAAGATATGATTGGTCAATTGTACTGTCATTTGACATTACTCTCTCGTTCAGTTAATATAGCGGGCCCTCTGTGACGGCTCGCCACTGAGAGTGAGAGTGTGTTAATTAATATATTTGGCAGTTTGGAGTAAGTCTGTAGATTTGTTTGTGTGTGTGTGTTTCATGTATAGGCCTCTCACGATAATTAATTTTGTTGGATACATTTTCCCGGAAATTATTGCGATAAACGATAATATTGTCGGCACCGTTGTATGACCATTTTAGACCACTGACATAATGATAATATATAATAATAATTCAAGTACATCCTTTCAAACTGCTAGTCACATCCTCATGTAAATGGCAATTTATCGAGGTCAGAAAAGTTCTCGAGTTCATTTTTATTTATCGTACGATAAGTCAATTAATTGCTTATCGCGACTGGCACACAATAAAACAGTGGAAACAAACATGTTTG